AGTCAAATCAGGTGATCTAAAATGACAAACACATTATTTTAAGGTACAATGGGTTTTTCTCGAGTAGGCTTACCGTGCAGGCCAGTGGAGTGGTCCATAACGGCCAAACCAACGTCCAGGAAATTGAGCATTCAGGTAGGCAGTGACTTTTCGAGCACAGTGAGGTGGTGCTCCATCCTGCTGGAATCATCGTGGTCTGTCTTGCAGTGGAACATCCTCGAGTATATCAGGGAGGGTCTGCGTTATGAAGGCATGATACTGTTGACCCTGAAAACAAAAATGAAAAAATAAATATTTTGTCGCTTGCATGTGTTATGTGTATACGTATGTAGGGAACGAATGTATGATACTCACATTCATACAATCTACAAGCTGGGACAGAAATACTCAATTACCCACTATTCCCCCCCCCCCCACACATTCACTTTCCAGCGTGTTTGAAAACTCTTTTACCTTACTAAGTGAGGATTTTCAACAGCATAATTATGTAAATTATGCTGATTGAAAATCCCTTCTCGGATGAATAGAGATTCATCTGTTCACATAATTTCGTCCAAGAAATTTTCATGATGGTAATACAATGCTAGAAACTCTTGACAATAGTGCAGATGCTGCTCTGCATCTCCTGGCTCGAGTTTCTGAGCTCTTGTGTAGTGGAATGGGTGGAGAGAATTAGCTAGCAAGATGCGATTCATGGTGGACTTCGAACAGCCAGTTGCTCTTTCAAGCTTCCGACAGCTCATGGTTGGGTGTTCTTACACCCGTGCCAAAATGTCTTCCTCGGTATCAAGAGGACGTTGAGGTCCTCCTGCGTGAGCTTGTGGTAACACGTGGTTCTCTCGCATCCGACCATCCACATCCTGTATTACACGTGGACCTGGATGTCTTCGATTAGGGAATCTCACACGATACTGTCGCGCTGCTTCCGTTGCATTACCCCTGAATGCACCATAAATTAGATGCATGTCAACGTATTCGTTCACTGTGTAATTATTCATTATGCACTTCACATCCAACTCTGGCGAATGATAGAACACGAATGACTATTCCTCGATGTAACACAGCTTTTATGTCTTATTCTACGTCTTCATTTTATCTACATCGTTTTTTTCCTACTGAAAAAAAACGACATCCTGTCAATTGAAATATCTCGATAACTATTGAAAAGTTATCGAGACATGCAGCGTGATAAAGTAAGGGAACTTCATAATGAATAGAATGAATTCTCACTCATACTTTTCCGGCTAGTTATTCTCGAGATATCAAAATTTAATCAACCCCATGTTTCGCCCCACTATCCCCCTATCGCGTTCATTCGTGTCCTCCCCCCCCCCTCGCCTCGCTTTACACCAAGTTATTTCGAGACGCTTTCAAAGTCAAGGTTATGGAATCGTCTCGAAACGTTTCGTTGTAATTCGAGCGACGTNGTTTTTTTCCTACTGAAAAAAAACGACATCCTGTCAATTGAAATATCTCGATAACTATTGAAAAGTTATCGAGACATGCAGCGTGATAAAGTAAGGGAACTTCATAATGAATAGAATGAATTCTCACTCATACTTTTCCGGCTAGTTATTCTCGAGATATCAAAATTTAATCAACCCCATGTTTCGCCCCACTATCCCCCTATCGCGTTCATTCGTGTCCTCCCCCCCCCCTCGCCTCGCTTTACACCAAGTTATTTCGAGACGCTTTCAAAGTCAAGGTTATGGAATCGTCTCGAAACGTTTCGTTGTAATTCGAGCGACGTGGAGAGGACACGNATGATATCTTGAGAACAACTAGCCGTAGAAATATGGGTGAGAATTCATTCTATTCATTATGAAATTCCCTTACTTTGTCACGCTGCATGTGTCGATAACTTTCCAACAGTTATCGAGATATTTTAGTTGACAGTATGCCGTTTTTTTTCAGTAGATAAAAGAGAATGTGAATAAGAAAAAGAGATGAAATAAGAGATAAATATTTTATTATTCTCAGTCATTAGTCCTGTACTATTGGCCAGTGTGGGACATCGAGTAAAAAATGGAGAGTTACGCAGTGAAGGAATACATTGGTATGGATCTCATGAACGGTGAATGCAGGGAGTCTATTCTCGAGTAGAAATCGTGCGTTTGATTTCGGTGGGTCGCATGCGGCTCATGGTGCGCCTTATGGGCCGTATGCGACTTGTCGAATTCGAACGTTCGATTTCAACTGAAGAATAGACTCCCAGAGATAATGCAGCAGTGTGACATTTTCCAATCGAAGACATCGGGGCCTACGTGTGATTCAGGTTTTGGACGGTCGGTTGTAGGAGAACCATGTGTTACAACAAGGTCACGCAGGAGGCTCTCAATGTCCGCTTGAAATTAACGAAGAGATCTTGGCACGCGTGGAGGAAGATTCAACTACGAGTTGTCGGAGGCTTCAAAGAGCAACGAGCCATCTGAAGTCAACGGTAAATCGCATTCTGCCGGCTAATTCCCTCTATCGATTTGACTCCACAAGAGCTCGGAAATCCGAGCCAGGAGATGCACAGAATCGTCTCCACTATTGTCAAGAGTTTCTGGCCTTGTATTACGAGCGTGAAAATTTTTTGGGCGGAATTATGTACACAGACGAATTTCCGTTCATCCGAGAAGGCATTCTTAATCAGCATAATTCACATAATTATGCTGTAGAAAATCCTTACACGGTGAGGAGAAAAAGTTTTCAGACACACAGGAAAATCAATGTGTGGGTATAAAGAGTGCGTAATTGCGTATTGCTTTACCAGCTTTCGAATTGTGTGGATGTCTCATATATTTATTATCCACGCACGCACACACATAGGATATACAATCGATGAAATTTTCTCACTTGTGTATTTCTCAGAGTCAACAGTACCACGAATTCATCATGTAGACGCTTCCAGATATCTCGACAAGGTTCACTCCAAACTACACCTCGGTGGTTCAAGCAGAATGGTCTCCTCAATCACATCACTTTGCTCGAGATGTTACTGCCCACCTGAATATTCAGTGGTCTGGACGTTTTTTCGTGCGCTATGCTCCAAACACTGGCCTGCACGGTAAGACTACTCCAGAAAAATCAATCGTACTATAAAATAATGTGTTTCCATTTTTTAATTTTTGATTGAATGCCGCCAGACTTTTTCCTTTGGGGCTATCTAAAAGGAAAGGTATACGAGACAGAGCCTGAGACTGCGGAAGACTTGGTGGCACGACTACATGCAGCCGTGACTGATGTTGGAGGTGAAATGCTCCAGCATATGAAGGTTCTCACATGCCACCGTTAAGAGCATAATAATAGGCCCTTTTGAGGGCCACCAAAAAAATTAGCGTGGTACAACAAAAGTTTTGGAGTGAAAATAAGGGTCAAATGAGGCAGCCGAGTGGAGTAATCACAAGGGTCAAACGGGGGGGGGGACAAATGGAGAGAACATAAGGGTAAAATGAGGGAAGCGAGTGGAGTTATCACAAGGGTCAAACGCGGAAGACAAGTCGATTGAACATAAAAGTATAAGGGGCAGACCAGTGGAGTGATCACAAGNACTAATCGCGAGGGTCGAGCGAGGGAGAAGAGTAGAGTATTCCCGAGGGTTAAACAGGAAAGATAAGCGTAGTGATCACGCGGGAAAAATGGCTACACTGAGAAAAAAGTTTAATCCTGCCGATCAAATTTGTTTCAGACAAACGAATGACTGAAATTTTCACACGAAATCTCCCCATAAATTCTTGTCTAAAATAAATTTAATTGGCAGAATTATATCTTTTTCTCCGTGTGGAAACATCCAAAGTATTTTTACCCTTGCGAGGAAAGCAAGGGTGGGATGCCCTGTATATATCGTAACGAGATTTTCTCGACACGGGTGAAATTGTTTTACTCACAGAACAAAATCCATGAGTCAAGTGTCATGAGAGTGAAGAAAGTGTAGAGAGTGACATCTAACGACAGCTGAAGAAGCTGAGCGCGAGATGACAGTCCCATCGAACGGCTAAAGAAGCCGCGCCTGAGGTGAATAGACCAATGAAATAATGCCAAGAGGCGTGGTTTGGCTTCAACCATGCTTCCGAACATTATTGTCAGGCTGTTGATACACTGTCGTCATATTTAGAAACACGCCCAGCTGTGTTTGGGGAATAAGGGCCGACGTACAGGCGTTCCAACTAGGCGATTTTAAAGGCACTATCGACTTAGACTAGGGACCAACGCCTAGGTGAGAGGACTAGCGCCCCCTCGATTGCCGTCCAGCTGATTGGTGGTGGTCGGGTAACGGATGACCCACTGCCGCTGAGATATCCAGGCTATGGCGAGAAGGCCCTAAGAGATTTCGAGACAGTCGGTGACATACGTTGGTGTCGAGTGGATGATTTTCCGGTTACTAGCTACAGTCATTAGTGGCATTGGTCCATAGTGGATCATGTGGGAACGTTGTTTGGACTAGATCCGAAACAGTGAGAAAGTGGGACGCATTAGCGTCCTACAAAGAGAATGAATGGATTACTTTGACCGGGTGGAATACAGTCGTTTCACGTTTCCAGGGATCCATATCCTGAGGCGAAAGGAGGGGTCTTGGCGTGGATCCATGGGCCGGGAGTTCGGCCGACTCCTGGAAGCCCGATCACACGTGCGTCCATGACGAGTAGTCCAGGTGTTGACCAGCGATAATATTGCTTTTACCAAGCATTGGGGATGAGTTGAGGTGGGCACAGGTGGGTGAGAAAGAGTCTCCGGATGCTTGTGTCGCACGTGCCTCTCAATATTCGGCGCCCTGTGAGGTGAGAAGGATTCGCAGGTAATTGTTGTTTCCTTCAGAGTTGAGCCTCTATGGAGAGAGAAAGAATGCGTCAGAGGAATGGAAACATCCTCGGCGAAGGAAAAATGGAGAAATGTCTACTGAAAGGCGCACTTTATCGCAATCACTCGGCTGAAAAGCCGACAATCGATTGAGTGAACTACTCGAAATTAAACCAAAATTAAGATTCAGAAATAAATGGTCAAAATCTAAGGGTCATATGGTTAATGATAAGGGTCACGAGGGTTATAATGATGGTCAGAATAAGTGTCACAAGGGTCAGATTACGGATCATGGTGTCATATGGGGCTATATGACGGTCACGTGGGGGTCACATGCCAATCGGAGCGAGCAGGAGGCGTAGTCCCGTATACAATAGAAATACATACAATACGTATGCTATACGATACATATAAAAATGTATACAATAAAAATATATGAATTAATATATATGAATCAATAAATATAATTTGACAAGAGATTTGAATTGAAAATTAAAGATTCATTCTCGGTGAAATGGTAGAATAATGCGAACAATCTAAAAACAATCCAATTCGTGAACAAACCTTGAGTGACTATGCTAGCATAATATGTAAAATAACTATAAGTAGTGTCAAAGTTTATGAACGAGGCCCAACGAATGATTTATAAGTGGATTTCTCGTAAAAATCCCAAAATTTCTCAACTTTATTTTTTTTCAATATGGCGCAGGCACAAAATGGAAGTTTTCCGTACTGATCTTCCCTTTTCCCAATCCGAAGATTGGTATTGACCCTTCCGCGAACTGGCAAAAGTGAAAGTCACTACGGAAAAATATCGTTCGTGCCTAGTGTCTCAAGAGGTTTGATGAGATGAATAGCACTCGTATGTGCCAACCTCACAGTCGTCAAAAATCTAAGTGGCAATCGACTTCGAGAAATTATTATAACAAAAACATATCTCATAAATATTGATATGTTTCTGATTTTTCAGAATTTCTTCAGATTTTTAGAAAACTTTTTGACAGCTAAGAAACGTGAAATCAGAAAAAAAGGTTTGTTGGGAGTAGAACTGTCACAAATGCCACTTAAAATCTGAAAATTTGCATGGAGGCATATTGGCATACTAGGGGGCTTCCCCCCCTGCTCGCTCCGCTCGCCAACCCCGGGGGGGGCTTCGCCCCCCCCCCTCGCTTCGTTCGCTCCCCCCCCCGTCCGTGTGTGTATAGTAATCCTCTATAAATATCGATATCCCCTTTATGACCACCCCCTCATATAGATATCCCTTATAAATACAGGCACCTCCCCATATAGGAACCCCGTATAGGCACCCAGCGTCGCCTGACTTTGAGCGTCCCCTGAATTTGAGCATCCCTTGAATTTAAGCGTCCCCTGAACTTGAGCGTCCCCTGAATTTTTCGCCGTATTTTTTTTATTTATATAGAGAGAAGAGAAAAATTGGCAATCCAAAATTCGGTGGAGGCATTTTCACCATACTTATTCCGCTAGACCCGTTGTAAAGTTCTATATTTTCGGAAATATTCAGCTTTAGAGAGAGACAGGCATTCACACGTAGGTCCGTATGTGCTATGGACGCCGGACTTGAGAGGTTAACTAAATGTACAATTTTCGGAAACAACTGAGAGTTTATGTGATCACAGAGCCAGCGACGTAGGAATTACCTCTCATGTTTCATATTTTTTCATTCGTAAATTTTCATGTAATAAAGTGATAACGTACTGTTTCCCTGGAATTTTTGTTACCCAAACTTTTTATAAATGTTCCAGTGCCAAGTTTCATCGTTGACATGGGGTCACAATGATAGACGGCTCTTCATTGCGACCGGGACACGCGTTCATACTGCTTGGGTATCAAGGTAAATCACATGTATTGTAATAAAAATCGACAAAGAATTAATCACACTGCGAGTAACATGAAATCGCTGTTCATCTGTCATTGAGATATATGGAAAATTCCACAGAAACCCGTTCAGTCATTTGACGCGATGTTTTCGAATTTTCTGACGTTTTAATATACTAGGAAGATCGCGCACTTAGCGCGCGCTACCTAGGTTGCATGAAATTGATATTTGTCGTCATTTTCATGAATTATAAATCCCCAGACTTAAGAACTACGTGATCCTACATTATGTCAATTTTTTTATTATATTTCAATCATGTTTTCATTTTTATATTAGAAATAATTATAATTATTGTCACAATTAAATTAACCAACTATAAACCATGTTCGATCGCAATATAAAATTATGTCCAAGCCGACCGTTAAAACTCATCTTTCCTCAATTTAACGAAATAGTTTTCCCCATTTACAAAAGAAATATTTTTAAATCTCTTTTACTTAAATTCTCTCACGTCAAGGTCATAAACCACTCAAATTTGCTCATTTCAGAACCCCTTGACAATTGCTTCACACAAAAAATTGTTTTTCTCGAAAATGCAGTCTCGAGACACTTTCCCCAACATGTGCAAGCAGTAAAACAGACCTCGAGAGTTTCCTTCTGAACCTCTCCCTTTTTTTTGTCTTTCTGTCCTCAACGAGGACTCAACGTACTTTGGNATACTTTAGGTCTGTTTTGCAGACCACCCAATAATTTCACGCCCTCAGCTATTTTTCCACCAATAAGGAAATTACCCTTCCCTCTCTTTTGAGAGTAACATCCCTCTTTACCCTCACTCTCTATCTTTTAGTTGAGGCATAGAATTTAAGAAAAATCTAAGTTAGTTACCACCAAGACTTCAGAGAGACAAGATCTTATGACTTGATCTCTCATTTATAACATTTAAAAACCAAATATTCGTTGTTAAGGTGTATTATCATCTATCTGAAGTGCTTAATATAGTCACTTATATATTTACGAACTTTAAATTCAATCATTCGAACTTTTTTGTGTGCAAAAATCAATTAAGTATTTGTTCTGTGTTATCAGTGCAATAATTTTGTTTTCACTTTCTCCGTACAAATTTCATTTTTTAATATACCAAAGTTTAAGTGAATTGTGTGTCAATTATTCCTTTCCTTAAATTAAAAATTCATCCTGCTTTCGGCTCACTTTCCGCTCGCAGCAGTTCAGGAGACATCGTTGGCGTACCGATTGGTATACCTGGGCTTTACAACCCCAGTCAAGGGTCAAGTTTTATTCACTCGGCTATCTCGTCAATTACCCCGAACAAACCAACTTTAAACAGAAACTTCAATTCATTCTCCTGACAACTTCACAAATGATAAAGATGTTCAAATCGATTCGTCATACACATTGACGGATCGAATCGAAAGCTTCATCATTACCAATAAATGATTTCGAAAAATGGAAAATATCAATGCATTTTTAATGGGGCATCAGTTTGGTGTCAATTTTTTGAACGTAAATGTGATCTTTCTATATTTAAGCATTAGGTACTTACGCAGATTTGGACAGTAACCGAGGAAATTTTCCTCATGAAGAGGAAAAAATTTGAATTTTCGCAGCGCGATATCCCAAAATGAAATTATTATTGCTTATCAGAATTTATCTATTGGATGGAATGGATAAAACACGGTATTAATTGCAAGATCTCGATAAGATCTTCAAACTAGTATATAATACATCCCCGCTGGTGAAGTCCAAAGCATCATTTTTTGTCAGAAACTATGATTTTTTAAGTGTGACATGAAGTAAAAAATAGAAACAATCTACCATAATTGGATGAAAATTCCACGAAATCAGATTTTTTATGTACTATTTTGAAGAAGTAACAATACTCTTCAAAATGATGTACGAATTCTTCACTTTACTTCAACGATAGTGATTGAAAAATGCGAACTAATCTGAATTCAGAAAAAAATCAAGAAATTCAATTCTTAGATAAAATCTCCTATAAGTTGATCAAACTTGGCTGTAATTAAATAGTTCAGGGGTCAATTTGAAGGCAATTTAATGTGCTTATTATATATAACATATTCCCACAAACTTGAAGAAAAAAACAGAAAATATCATCGTTTATAGAAAAAAAATGGAAATTTTCAAAACTTGACATGCCAAAATCGATGCATTATCGCTTGTAACAATTGATCTAATGGTTGGAATCAATAATGTAAGGTTTCAATTTGAAGATCCCGACGAAACCTTCGAATTGATATATGATATATCCCCGCTGATTAAGTATAAACCCTTGATAAATTACAAAAACTGTCATTTTCTAGGTGTGACAAAACATAAAAAATGGAAAAAAACTGTAATAAATTGATGAAAATCCAATTAAATCGCATTTTTAATACACCATTTCGAAAAACAGTACATGTTCTTCAAAATGATGTATAAATGTCTTTGTTTAAGCCACTTGAAAGCATCGAAAAATCCATCCGAAGTTAATTTTTCAAGTGAAATATGAAAATTCACTTATCGCCTAAAACTCTCATAACTCAATGAAAAATGGTCAGACTGAAATATTACAATCAAAGACATTTTACGACCGGTATATTCAACATCTATATTAAGAGAGATTCTTTAATGCCTAAAAGAGGTTAGGCGGTGTTTGAGGTGAATTTGACAGTGAATTTCTGTGGTTCCCGGTAGTTTATAATATAGATGTTGAATATACCGGTCGTAAAATGTCTTTGATTGTAATATTTCAGTATCGCTTTAAACGGGAAGGGTGGGGGGGAGTGGGGATAGTGAGACGATATGCACAAGTTCTGAAATTCGGAGATGCGGAGGAGGCCACAATAGCTCAATTGGCAGAACACCTGTCAGTCGGCTCGCAAAAGCCATACAGGACGGACGCATCTCCGCAAAGCTAAAGAATATTAGTTAGACGCGAGAGTGTGTTTGTACGAGTTTAAACAACTATCTGTATAAAAACCGTACTTAAAGTCCAATAATTATAACACATTGGGTTAAGACAAATTCTCATTATCAAAAAGATGAGAATGAAATGTGTTAATAAATAACTTTTGCGGAAGAGCCAGGCTAAAACAAAGCAAAAGTTACTAATAAGATGCGAGGCAGAGGATGCGGACGCGGTCTACTCCCACGTGATAACAAGAGTGATCCAAAACGTAAGGCTATGGACCACCTAAATAATTTAACCCCAGGAAAAAGGGGTAGAACGCAAGTAACAAACATTACTGCTGCTACACTGGAAAAAGAGATGAACAGAATGAGAATGAAATATGGTAACAAATACAAATCGCCTATTCCATTCTCTCCCTCACAAGCGAGCTCATCAAACTCGCAGAAAATGGAACAAAATATCGAGAAACAGTTCGATTCTTCCGAGAACTCTTCAATAGCGTCCGAAGAATCCCCAAATAATAAGAAAAAGAGGCCCAAACGTGATACCCAACACAAACAAACCTCTTTGAAGTCTACACAGGCGTCTAGCAATACAAGGACACCACAGGGCACCGAACTCGATGAAACGACAAACCTCGATGTCGATTTGCAAACCCAAGGTGAAGAACCCGAGATTAGTCAACGACTTCATCCACAACAAAGGAAAGGCCAAGATACCCGAAACGCACCAAAGCCTAGCAGTTCCCGCCCCCCTCCACTCCAGGCCAGAGGGAAACAGCTACACGAGGTTGCCGAGATACTAGCAACACACAACAATGGAGAATTTAAAGATAAGTTTCATCTAAGTCAAGCACAAAACTCTGACTTTGTCACTATTAAAGCACATGATATCATAACATATAGAGAATTTAAAAAATTATTAATCGATAATGAGGAAAAATTCTATACGTATACTCCCAAAAATGAAAAGAATAAGAACATTGTTCTAAAAAATTTTTTTGGGAATTTTTCAGAAGCTAATATTATTGATGCAATCAATGAACTCAAAATAGACAATATAACGATAATAAAGCTAAGCAAACTAATATTGAATAAGAAAACTGGCTCTTTTGCGTATCTAATCCAATTATCAAATGATTCAATTGTCCCTAACTTAACTAAAATCAAATACTTGCTTTATCAAAAAATAAAATGGGAACCTCTAAAGAAAAAGGCAGCATTCCAATGCAAGAAGTGCCAAAGAATAGGCCACTCAGCTGGAAACTGCTCTTTGGAATATCGCTGTGTGAAATGCGCGCAAACACACGAGCCTGGTCAATGCCCTCTCAAGGACAATTCTGAAAGACAACTACTTAAATGTGCGAACTGTGGTAAAAATGGTCACCCAGCTAACTGGAGAGGTTGTATATACTTTACCGGTGCATTGAACATTATCAACTCACGCAATGAAATAATTAATAACAATAAATCTCTAAAATTAAATAAATATGCCGCTAGAGTGACCCCTTCCACCACTTTCGCGGATAAAGTCAAGCAAAATAGTAATAAGAAAACATTATCCGCAGATAATAGAGCTTCTCAAGTACAAAATATTAATAATACACAAAGAAATCATATCCCCATGAATAATGTAAGGACTAACATCCAAAATAACCCAAATGATCCTCCACAATGGGCTAACAAATTGAAAGACATACTCATTGAGGCTCTCGATAATAAACTCAATGATAAATTAAACACTATTTCTGCTCAAGTAGAAAAAAACAAAGATAATATCCAAATCATTATGGATCATTTAAAAATTTCTAAAAATGGCGGTAATCAACCCACAAATTAACAACGATATTTATCAAGATATAGTACAATTAAATCACCTAAACCTAGCCTCAATTAATGTGAATTCAATTGTTAGACAACAGAGAAGATATTTCTTACAAGAATTTCTGGAAAAAAATAATATAGATATCGCGTTTTTGTCAGAAACAAAACTGAATGCTAAACACAAAATAAAATTAGATAAATATGAATTAATTCGAAAAGACAGACATAATTCTGAATTCTCTGGAGGCACTGCGATACTAATT